TGTAAGGTATTCGAAGCAACTATTAATCATCTAAAACAACTCTAATATTAAATGTGAGCATGGAGCAATGTCTTTGGAATATAATCTTTTGATTTCGGACTTATAAAGTGATGAAGAAGCTCTACGTTTTTTTCGATGACGAGTTAAATATAGTGAAGTGACATGCTTTAAAAATCATTGATTGTATAATTTTGAAGGATAATAAATCAATTTTCATGGTTGCCGGTGTAACGTTGAATTTTGACCCGGGTTGAAAATTGACCCGGGGTCATTTTTCAACGTTGAATAGTGAGACAAAAGGTGTTGAATTTAGACCCTAGTCCGTTGAAAAGTGGGCCGGGTCCTGGAATTTTGATCATGAAACCGGTTCAAAATTCAACAGCAAAAAAAACACATATTGATGATTTGGTTTTCACAACTGTAATTTAATCCATTGGCGTCGCGAATGGGGGAGGGGGGCAGGGATGCTTACCCTTTTTTGCAAAGATAGACATAATATAGGCATTGAAGAATGTGAAATTGGTTTAGTCCCCCCACCCTGATTTCAACAGGCACGTTAAAGTGTAGTCAAAGGAAGAAGAGTTAGGGGTAGTGCTTTAAAACAAGAGGCCCAGGGGTCACAGCGCTCACCTGAGCACATCAGGCTTGAATTTACTCCGACCCCCCCCCCCCCTCCAGGCATTCATCATTTGAACAAACTAGAATCTACACTACCTGAGAATGATTCCATATAAATATCACAAATCATAGCTTTGAAGTTCACTTGAAAAGAAGATTTTAAAAGGTTTCCCTATATATCCCTATGTAAAACTTGGGTCGGCCATTTTGGCCCCACCCTTGCCCCAGGGGTCATGATTTGAACAAACTTGAATCTAGACTACCTGAGGATGATTCCACATGAGTTTCATCTTTCCTGTCCTAGTGGTTCTTGAGAAGAAGATTTTTAAAGATTTTTCTTTAATATTCCTATGTAAAACTTGGGTCGGCCATTTTGGCTCCAGTCTTGCCCCGGGGGTCATGATTTGAACAAACTTGAATCTACACTACCTGAGGATGCTTCCACATGAGTTTCATCTTTCCTGGTCCAGTGGTTCTGGAGAAGAACATTTTTAAAGATTTTTCCTATATATTCCTATGTAAAACTTGGGTCGGCCATTTTGGTCCCACCTTTACGCCGGGGGGTCATGATTTGAACAAACTTGAATCTAGACTACCTGCGGATGATTCCACATGAGTTTCAACTTTCCTAGCCCAGTGGTTTTGGAGAAAAAGATTTTTAAAGATTTTTCCTATATATTCCTATGTAAAACTTGGGTCGGCCATTTTGGCCCCACCCTTGCCCCGGGGGTCATGATTTAAACAAACTTAAATCCAAACTACCTGAGGATGATTGCACATGAGTTTCATCTCTCCTGGCCCAGTGGTTCTGGAGAAGAAGATTTTTGAAGATTTTTCCTATATATTCCTATGTAAAACTTGGGTAGGCCATGTTGGCCCCACCCTTGACCCGGGGGTCATGATTTGAACAAACTTGAATCTACACTACCTCAGGATGCTTCCACATGAGTTTCATCTCTCCTGGCCCAGCGGTTCTGGGGAGGAAGATTTTTAAAAAATGCCATAAATTTTTCACAAATTCATAATTATGCCCCCTTGGAAGGGGGCGTGGCCCTTCATTTGAACAGATTTGATTCCCCTTTACCGAAGGATACTTTGTGCCAAATTTGGTTGAAATTGGCCAAGTGGTTCTTGAGAAGAAGATGAAAATGTGAAAAGTTTACGACAACGACAACAACGACAGACAAAGGACAAATTTTGATCAGAAAAGCTCAGTTGAGCCTTTGGCTCAGGTGAGCTAAAAAAAAAAAGAAATTGGATCCTAACCCCCCTCTCCCTCTAGGATTTTTGGGTTTGGACAATGGACAGTTTTTTTTTTCTTGTTATTTTTTTTTCAGATTTGAATATTTCTTTCTTTTTCTTTAGCCCCCCCCCCCTTTCCGCACTTTTGTATATGTAAATCCTAAATATTAGTAAACATAGTTACAGAATATACAATTTAATTCATAAATTTGTTTATTTATTTATTTTTTTTTTTTGCTAACATCCAATTCCTAATATTAGTATTTGATGCACGTACGTTTTAATGCTTATTTAGTTATGCACAACATTAATACCTTATAATGTCCAACATTGAAAACAGATTTTTCAAAATAAAACATTTAGTGATCTTTTTCGCATAGTTAATCAAACAGTTCAAGAACGAACCTAACAATTGAAACATAATTATTTTGTTAAGTATAGAGTTTGTAAAAGGGGGGTTATCTCCCCTTTTTGGGATTAGTACCATAAATATTTGAAGAATGCGTTGTTACAACGCGAAATGTAATAACAACGCGAAATGTAATAAACTTGGATTATTACATTTTGCGTTGATTTCGACGCAAAATGTAATTACGCAATATGTAATGATCCAGGTTTATTACATTTCGCGTTGTTATTTAAATATTTTAATATTTGAATAGCAGGAGGGTATATAGTGATCGTTAATTCCGTCAGTCCGTCCCTCCGTCTGTCCGTCTGTCTGTACGTCCGTCCGTCCGTCTGTTACGCTTTTGGGTACCCATCTCTTATCCGCAACTCTTATACTACTAAATGAAATTTGATGAAACTTTCACAGAATCTTTATTACATATTGCCATTGTGCACCTCCTATTTTACTTTTTGATTCGACACATATTTTGGGTTTCCCATAGCAAAACATGAACACTGTCATTTATACACATATGGGAGGCGGGGGTATCATTTAGTGAACCCATTGCTCCAAGTACCTCTAGTTTTTTTGTGGCTGGGCTGTTTTCTTCATTTTTGTATTTTTTTAATTAAAAAAATGTTTCCCTTAGATACACAACCCTAACTTTCAGCGTTATTTAAGTTTTGTAATAAAGTAACCAAAATATCAATTGAATCCCCCCCACACACAAATCGGAAAACAAAGGATAGTTTGTGAGGAATCCAATTAGAAAAACCTGGTTTGGTTTGGTTTGGTTTGTTTATTGCGTTTCGTTTATGTTTTTGTCACAATACTTCAGAGGGATTTGACACCATACCCCTGCCTCCGAGAAAAGAACTTTAGGACCCCCCCTCTCTCTCTCTTTATTTCTTTGAAGAGGAATGCGCTTTTTAGTTGTTTAGATCAAGGGACGGCGTTTTTTTTAAATTGTTGATATCAAAGATGGTGGGAAGTGCAGCTTCTAGTCCATGCCAGACTCTAACTCTAGTTACGGAGAGGGCTAAAATAAGCTTTGTCTGCTACCCGATCCCATTTGCTTTATGTGCACAAAATTTTATATAAATTAAAATGAACTCTAGTTAGTTCTCATTCTCAAGGTCATGTTTCGAAAACGATCGATTTTGTAGGCCGAGGCAGGCTACTGACAGATAAGTTTGCTACAGGGATTTCACCAACCTTGTTTAAAGTCGGCATTACTTACATGTGATGTTCGATATATTGATATTTACACAAATATAACCTATCATTGGATACATTTCGACTGATGTGTTTCATTCTAATTTTTAGCCTTTAATTTTGTTAATTTTTATACTGAATTTGATAAGATGGGATGTTCTGCCCACCTGATTAATATAATATTATATAGGGCTCACTTTCCGGTTTCTAGACACCAGATTTCCAGGATTTTTGTTTATGTGGACACAGCATGGTTTAACACAAGGGTGGATGAACTAAATAGACGAGTATCCAATTACTTGAAGAATGTAGACTCAGCAACATTCTTTCGCCTGTCTGGTTTCTGGTGTCCTAATAATCAACGGGCAGTATTTTTGGCTGATGGGGTCCATTTGAATTATCAAGGAAATAAGAAATATTATAATAATGTGAGGGCTGTAATTGTTTCAATGATAAAGTCTATCAATAATGGTGGGTATTTATCTGTACAACATTTATATTTAGTCTAATTATAATACATTCTACTACGTTCATTTGATTTAATTGCTCATTGGCGATTGATGCAGTCTTTAGTATATTATTATGCTATATGAAATAACCTCATTTTAATCTTAATATATGGCAACTCTGTGGATTGGGGTTGTTTTATTCGAATTTGCCAATATGGTGTATTATTGATAAGCACCCCTATGTGGTCGGGGTTGACTTTTAGCAGGATCTTGCACCCCTATTTGGTCGGGGTTACTTAGAATACAGCAGGTTTTTTGCACCCCTATATGGTCGGGGTTTATTCATGAAATATCCTGCACCCCTATATGGTCGGGGTTGTATTCAAGCAGGATCCTGTACCCCTATATGGTCGGGGTTTATTAAGCAATATCCTGTTCCCCTATATGGTCGTGGTTTGATCTTAGCAGGATTTTGCATCTATATATGATTGATATGATTGAAGTTACTTAAGCAATATCCTGTAGCCCTATATGCTCGGGGTATTATTTAAGCAGGATTTTGCACCCCTATATGGTCGGGGTTGAATTTACATATTTAACACCCCTATGGTGGGGGTTTATGGTTGGTAAGTTGCTGCACCCCTATATGGTTGGGGATATTTGTTTTGTTAGAATTTTCACCAAATATGGTTGAGGTCTACTTTCTGAATGTATTGCACAAAATGAATAAGATACATACATTCTTATATTGTTGAGGTTTCTAAAGATTCCTTACTAAGTTTATCCAATTATTTAAATTTTTAAGAGTGTATTTTTAATTGAAGAATCAAAGTTTAAATTGTTGCTTTCAATGGTCAGGTTATGAGCTCTGAAATATTTTTATTGATTAGGTTCATATCTTCTTTAGAAATATTGTAGATGAATGAACCAGCCGAAGCGAGGCGACCAGCCAGGGCCAGAAGGCTAAGACGACAAGTACCAGCCGCGGTACACTGTAGGTTCAGCCGATCAGGCAGCTCAGCAGGACGCTTTAGAAGCTGAACAGGCGGCTCAGCAGGACGCTTCAGATACCTTACAGCCGCAGCTAGTAGCTGCTGTAACGGAGCAAGTCCTAAAGGCAATCCGCGAACAGTCGGCTGGTGGTCAATCTGGGGAGGAAAGAGGACGTGAACGCCAAAGAAGCTCGAGAGGAAGAAAACGTAGAAGACGGTCCTCTTCAGGTAGCATGTTAGACTCTAGTTCAGATGGAGATAAGTCAGATAATGACTCAGAGGACAGCTCATCCAGTGAGGAGAGTGATTCAGACGATGAGCAACAGCTCTTATCAACTCCAATTTCTTCTCAAGTCGATAGTAAACTCAAAAACAAAATATGGCAAAACAAGTACATTAACTTAGCAAAATTAATACCAAAAGATGATTTTAGTAGGGATAAGTCAGTACACTTGCAAAGCATGGGTAAATCAGAATTTAAGTTTGTGACCTCAAAATCAAAAACAGCCATTAAATCTATTGATCAGTGGACCACAGCATTTTCAAAATTTTTGGCCATTTACTCAGAAATTCCCCAACTTGGTACCAGCGGTCATCAAACATGGTGAAATAGTGCGCGAGCTAGCTAGCAGACGCACAGGTTTGGCATTGTTATCATATGATAGGCAAGGTCGCAAGGACATAGAATCAATGTCAATTCCATGGGGGCAACTGCACTATGAGTGCTGGGTTATGGCCACCACATCGCGACAATCTAATTATGGCAATCAGACACATAATTTTCGTGGCCGATACCAATTCCAAAACAAAGGGGGGGGGGGGCTATAAAGGCAAGAGAATACCCCAGGGATATTGTTATTCTTCCCACAAAACGGGACGTTGCGCATCCCAGAACTGTCAATACAAGCACCTTTCTCCTCAGTGCAGGAAGCCACACTCAGTCCTTTTCTGCACATGGGGAGATCAATCGCAAACCTCTGTCCCAGGGTCCCAAACCAGACAAAAAGAACCCACTAGTACAAGCAAATAGATTAATTGTCAGGTGGTAGGATTGAAGGTCCATTTGAGGTACCCCCATTTGAAAATCTTCAATGTTCCCCTATTGGTCTTGTCCCAAAGAAAAAAATAAATGAATTTTGCCTTATTCACCACTTATCTTATCCTGAAGGGGTTTCTGTGAATGATTTTATCCCTGATGATCTATGCTCAGTATCTTATACAACAATTGATGATGCAATTAAACTTATCAAAAAAAAAAAAAAATGGAAAAAATTGTTTGCTAGCGAAAAACAGACATCGCATCAGCATTTCAAATTTTACCGGTTCATCCAAACGATCATGAGCTATTAGGAATTCAGTTTAAGGGTTCTTTTTATTATGACAAGTGCCTTCCCATGGGATGTTCTATAACATGCTCTATTTTTGAGACATTTAGCACAGCATTACAATGGAATGCTTCCAGCAAATTTGGGGTTCCCAATATGTTGCACATATTGGATGATTTTCTTTTTATAGGTCCTCCTAATTCTGCCATTTGTCATTCATCATTAAAACAATTCTTATCTATGCGTGATGTTCTTGGAATCCTAATCAAGTCCGAAAAAACAGAGGGCCGGGACCTTCAACAACTATGGTATTCTTAGGGATAGAATTAGATACTATAAAAATGGAGGCTAGACTTCCACAAGAAAAAATACAAAAAATTAAACTTTCACTTGATTCAGCCAAAAAATGCAAAAAAGATCACACTGCAAAAGCTTCAATCTTTAAGGAAAGGATTGCACGGGTTCGTGAAAAAATTCTGCCCAATGATTTTTTCTCATTTTTACATATAACGTTCCTAATGTCAATGATACCATTATATCAAAGTATCAAGCATGGTCATCAGGCTTCTAAGGAAGTTATGGTTGCCATGGTAATCAACATTTTTTTATCTTTTGATATTTATGAGGTGAATGTTTTATAATGCCATACACGCAACAAAATTGAAGTAAATTAAATATTTTTCTGCAGATATTTAATAATATGCTTTATATTTATTGAAAATAAAAATTGTTTCGGAAACTATTGATAAATGTAGTAATGCCATTGTTTTTTGGGGAAGTATTAATTGTAAATTTGCAGTAATATTTTCACCTCAATAGCAGTTTTTAACGTCTAAACAAAAAATTACCCAATGAATTTTCCCAAAACTAATATATGCTGTACTAGTCATTATAAGTGACTTATGGTTAAAATATGAAGTAAGGTAATCAGATTAATTTTGAAGCTACACGCATTCCAGTACCCCCCCCCCTTCCTAGAATATTAAAAGATAACACATATTTTCATACATGTATGATGGTCTGTTGTTGGACCTTAAATATGCATAATCTGTTTAAAGACAATAAAGGCCATATGTATAGATAAATAAATTCTTTTTCTCTGAAAATCTGGCAGCTGATGTTCATTTTAAGCACAATGATTTACTTATCACCAACAAAGGTCTCGAAAATAACTTCTTTTTTTCAAACTCGGTTTTTCATCTCCAAAACATTCATTTTGTTACTATATCAGTATAAATAAATAATATATTATAATCCAGTGCACAGTCCTCAAAGGCCTTAATCTTCATGCTTTGAACACTCAGCGATGTTTCATCGTAGTGACCTCGAATCGGGGGGGGGGGGGGGGGGGGGGGGTTCAGACATTTGAACACAGTGAATGAAAAGACGTTATTTTACATTGTACTTGTATCTGCATTATATATTTTTTTACGAAATAAATGTATTCATTAATAAATTATCTTATTGGCCAAATTATAGTAATTCTAAATATTCACATTTACAAATAGTTTTCCTTCCGATTCTTTTCAAGAAATAACACTTCATTTTCTCCTGTACATGGATGAGCGCTATCTCCATTGTGACGTCATAATGACACAATTGACGTCAAAACTATACACAACTTTTTCCCGTAATTACGTCATAATAGCTGAGCGACGCCATTACTAGTCACGTGATGCATCCGCCATTACAACCGTGAAAACCGTGAAGCCTACTGCACGATTATTGAAATCAAATTGAAAACCTCTTATTCATATTTATTTAAAATTGCAATCTTATCTAAAAACAAAAAAAAAGTTTTTTTTACAAATTAATTTATACGAAAGCCTACAAGGGTCAAATTAGAAAATTAAGTCGTAATAACGACTTTTTATCTCGTAAAAACGACTTTTTAACTCGTAATAACGACTTTTTAATTCGTTATTACGACTTTTTATCTCGTTATTACGACTTTATTAAGTCGTAATAACGACTTTTTATCTCATTATTACGACTTTTTATCTCGTAATAACGACTTTCTTAAGTCGTAATTACGACTTTTTTTCTCGTTATTACGACTTTTTTTTTTTTTTTTTTTTGCTTGTCAACGTTTTCAGGTAAGTAAAAATTTTTTTCCCTCAGGTTGGCCACCCCCACTTTCAAAAACGATGCTACGTGCCTGCAAGGAGATAACATGGAAACGTGCACGGTATAACGGTGTCGTGTAGCTGAAAATGCGATGATTATTTAGTCATAAAATTCTCAAAACAGTTGCACCAGAGTTTGACAATTTATTTATTCATATTTATTATAATCTGTAATTATTGACAATTAATATTTGGACTTGTTTTGTTTACACACTTATAATCTAAATCATTTTGCCGCTAAATTGAAGACATTAGTGTTAAATAGCACATCGCAGAAATCATTTCAAAATATATATGATACATTAGCGCGTGTCGAAAGCAAACTGAAAGGGGGGGGGGGGGGCTAAACCAACAAAAAATGTTCGGGGGCTACTCAGTAAGCCCCAATCATCAATGCCTATGTAGACTACATTATGTATTTCTTTGCAAAAAGGGGTTTAAATTGCTGTTCAAATGTACTTTTACATTCCTCGTTCACAGACAAAAACTTTCAAAAATATCAACGTGAAAGTCTATGCTATTTATATATAACCAAATTACCATATATTGACAACTTCTTTTATGTGCCAGATTTGAATTAAACTACCACATCACCCTTATTTGTATTTGGCTATATTGCAACAAAAAGTGTTGGGGCGGCATTAAACTTTTTCATCAGCAGGAAAGTTATGTTTGAGAAAATACTGGGGAAGCCTCCACCCCACCCTGCAACATGCCTGATAAGCAGATGATGCTCATTTTCTTTCGTCAGTTTGATGTATAAATCAACTTCACGAGGCGCAGTCATAAGTTTCCATAATACGGAAAGGTAAAAAATATCAAATTATTAAAAATAATCTTACTTAAAAAAATCATAATTACGAGATAAAAAGTCGTTATTACGACTTAAGAAAGTCGTAATTACGACTTTTTATCTCGTTATTACGACTTAATAAAGTCGTTATTACGAGATAAAAAGTCGTAATAACGAGATAAAAGGTCGTTATTACGAGATAAAAAGTCGTAATAACGAGATAAAAAGTCGTTATTACGACTTAAGAAAGTCGTTATTACGACTTAAGAAAGTCGTTATAACGAGATAAAAAGTCGTTATTACGACTTAATAAAGTCGTTATTACGAGAAAAAAAGTCGTAATAACGAGATAAAAAGTCGTTATTACGACTTAAGAAAGTCGTTATAACGAGATAAAAAGTCGTAATAACGAGATAAAAAGTCGTTATTACGACTTTAAAAAGTCGTTATTACGAGATAAAAAGTCGTTATTACGACTTAATTTTTTTTTCTTCATTTTCTAATTTGACCCTTGTAGGCTTTCGTAAATTTATGATTTAATCCATATATTTTTCACGAGATAGCTTGTCCACGGCGTTGCACTCCGGCTCCCATTGAACTTACTGAAGTATACGGACATAAACGAAATCCTATAACTTTTACAATTGCAAATTTTATCTTTACACAAAAAGGTTTTTTACTTATCCATTTATGATTTAATCTGTATATTTATCACGAGAAAGCTTGTCCACGGTGTTGCACTCCGGCTCCCCTTGAACTTACTGAATTATACGGACATAAACGGAATCCAATTCAGTTTTTCTCACCCGTGAAACTTAGATTCTAAGTACTGCATGTAAAAGCTTGTGGTCGAGGATTCACTTCAATGTTAGAATTAATAAATGTAATGATAAAGAAATAAATTATTTTTTTCTACAAAGAAATTTAATACAGTAAGTACATAGAAAAAATTGAACTAATCCTCCCCATTTCTAACGCAAAACTTGCATCCGCGCCTGTGACTGTACGTGTGGGGTTTGACGTCCTTTAATTTAGTGACGAAATCATCCGATAACTAATATGTCAGTTAAAAATATTAACTAAGAAAAACGGTATTAGTTAATTTGTTTATTTAAACAATAAAATGCTTTTTTGTTTGTTATTACTGGAATGAACGGAAGCAGTTGTTGCAGAAAAAATACATGCGGGTTATGTAATTTTTTTCTGCAATAGCTGCGACCTCTCATTCCAGTAATAACAAATAAAGAAAGACATTTTATTGTTTATATTTATATCTGTTTAAATTATCATTTTAAGTAGGATTAAAAATATTAATTATTGTGTTAATGATGCGAACGTCTTTGTACGTTTCATTGATGGAACGG